TAACCATAGCAACTAAATGTTTTAGCTTAAACATCTTAAATGCACAGACAACAATTTGAATAATAATGCCATCAGTTAAGGCATTATACGTTTATCAAAGAAATATGTCAAAAGAAAAAAGACAATTAAAATGKTCTCTAAAAATCCACAAAAGCTCCTAGACCATTTCATACGCACTTTACAGTTTAAAAAATAGGTCACGATTACTTTATAACTTTACATAAGCAAAATGCTTTCTGCTAAGCATWAAAAGCATGGTCAATATTTTTGCCCTTTGAAAAATACTCATTGCCAATGGTAAATTGCCATGTGAGCCAGCACTTTGTTTGCAATTTTTATTGCAAGAAAGGAATATGAGCTGGTGCAGTAACAACAAAGAAATCAAAGCAAATCCATAGGAGATGATTTCTCTGGACACAACAGAAATCTAAAAAACAGTGTGTGTAGGAATGAAACACTGCCTCCTGTCACACACGACTTCACACACCATTACTGATCATACAGTTCCTGGCTGCTATTTGACCAGTAATATAAGCACTGTARATGAAGATTACTCTGATTAGTTTCTATTTTCATTAAGGTTGTGAGATACAGGGGAAAACATAAACTGATAAATGGGCAAAAGAGAGGAACACGGATGACTAGAATAGATCATCAAYATATACTATAAATAGGCTCAAAAGTTACAACAAAATCATTTGTGGATGCTACAAGTAGAAAATAGGTCATATCCATACATATTCAGCCATTACTGCTAGCTGGTAATTTGCATGAAGAATTAAGCAATAGAAGACTCATTAAATGTATTTTAAATTGAACTCTTTCAATGAAACAAAATTATGGAATAAAGACAAATTTTTCTCCAAGCCACACAGGAATGGAGCAAGATAACAATAATAAAGGGGTTTTTTTTTCCACAATACTTTCTTGCTATGTCAATTTACAGAAAACTCAGGTATAACTTTGGGATGGAATAGGAAAGATTTGCAGAGAGCCATTTTTCAGAAAAAGGGCAAGAATGGTGGAACCTTCTGACATTTAGTCTTGAATTTCTGTAAACTTTCCAAAAGAAATATTAGTCACCACTGAAGGCACAAGGTGRCCAGAATCAAATGGCTTTCCCCATGATACACTAAAACCTGATAAAGGCCTGACTGTAGAAAGATGAGTGAGATACTCATAGAATTCTAACCCTCTAAGTCTAAAAAAAGCCGAAGTTGGAAAAAAAATRCAAGTCTTCCCCAAAAGGTGCAAGAATTAAATTACCCTCAGTCTCTTAGTGCCTTACAATTTTTTAGTTTCAAAATAAGAAGCAGTGAAACTTCAGTGGATAGTAGAAATCTAGCCACACAGCTCACTGAAAGCCTGATCCACTTAGCTCTTCACCTTTTCCTAAACCTAGGAAAAACATGTTGCACAAGGGATGATTAAATCTGCTCTGTGCCTGTGAACTTGTCCAAGCTGTGAAGAAATAGCCATGTGTGTTCTGATACAAATTCTGGCAGTACAGCTCAAAGACCTACATGCTGCTCAAGATTGACAGAAAATGTAGATCTTCAGATCCAAATGATTTTGACCACGTGAACCTGACACCATCCTGTCTTAACTTTCCAGCCACCTTTTAAAAAACAGAATGGGACAAAAGATGTTCAACAGGCAGTGGACTCAGAAAKGGGGAATAAGGACTCAGGTCCAGACAAGCTCTGGAAGGGCAAGTTTCTATTTCTATTAGTGTTCTAATGAAAAACAAGTTGACCACGGATTTGAAATCCCCAGGCCCATTACAGTTTTTTATAATGTCCCCTCAGATCTCTCTTTTACAGRAGTCTAGCATATGAACTATCAAACAACTGACAAAAAAGGGAAGTGAGATCCATAAAGAATTGAACTGCTGTACTAATTTATCATTAGAGGCACAAATATCTGAAGTCTCTGAACTGCAAAAAATTTAACAAAAATGAAGTTGTACTGGTAGTGGTTCTGGTCCGTTATGTAAGTCAGGAAAATCTCTTAATGTAAATAAGTGTCTTCAAAATCAGSAGTCATTAAATAATCCCCCCTGCTGAAGTGAAGGTATCATCACACTGAAATCGTATTAGCAAGTAAAGATCTTTAGCTTCTTAAAGAGCTGTCTCTATCCTCCACACMTAGTAGGACTAGCTCCATGAAATCTGGACCCTCCCCTCCAAGCAGAAAGGCTCTGTAAATTATAAATGTAAATAAAGGTCTCCCTCTCAATAAAGCCCAGTCTCCTGTCGAGAGCTTTTGAAAAGAGCRGGGGAAGAAGGTTTGAGGAATAGTCTAGGAAGAGTGATTGCTGTAACCAGGGTGTTCAACAGTGAAGGAAAAACAGAGATTCAGATCAACTGTAAATGGCCTTAATCCAAAGAAAAAGTGGACAAAAGGTTTAGGAGGAAGGATTCATGGCTCTTACCACTCCTGCAGAAGTACTGGCATGACTACCATAAGGAATGAAGAAATGCGTGCAAGGATGTGTCGAGGAYAATCAGTCAAATTATTCAGAAAGAGAAGCCAAAGTTGTAGCATTTCAGATCTGTAATTTGTCTTCAGCCAAAATGCTAGTCTGAAGCTTCCTGAATATGTCAGTGTGTGCACAGAGTTCCTWAGAGACTGAAATACTTGGCCACTATTACCTCAGATACAGCCTGCCTCCAGTGGACTGTCTTCAGTTGTGGCTTGCAGTTCATGGGCCATTCAGAGCTGTACRGCCAAAACAGTCTTCTTCAGAAAGTAAAACATAACATGCTAAGTTATCTAGTCTCTTGCAACTTGAAAGAAGAAAAATTACTAAAAAAAGGACTTTGTTTTATCCTCCAAGCATGAAATTCATCTACTAGATACTGGACTTCACACAACAGAACCTGGTAATCTACTATTTCTATTTGAAGGTTTGGGGGGGTGGGGGCAGAAGAAAAAATAACATTTTCCCCCTCTACAACCAAATGTTTAAAAGCCTTGCCAAAAGAAGCAGAGTGAAACTGTTTAAAAAGAAYCACAGCAACAAAAATAGGAGTGAGTGGAGGGTGAGTAAAAAGGAAAATCCAAACCACCTGCTGATTCTTGGTAGCATCTGTCACTGTACAAGAAGTGGGAGAACACGAAGGTAATGCTTGCCAAAGCACTTGAGCTGGAAGCAGTATGGCATCATTCATCGATCTGGTTGTATCAGATAGCACAGACCCTACAGAATATCCATCACAAACAGAACAGAATTTTGGGAACCTTCATGGAGATCTGTACTCTGTTGTTTGCAGCAACACTTTGAAGTTTTTTATGAGTTGATACAAATATTCTTCCCGAAATGAAAAGGTGAAGCATGTCGCCAAGATGTTCAAGAACAAAAGGTCACTTGCACATTTGCCCTCAATGTGGGTAGAGTATATGGTAGTCTCCTGAAGTGACATCTTTGAGGAGAAGATGAGGGGATGTTGTGGAGGCAAAAGTTCCTTTTTATCATAAGCTAAGCCTGCTTACYGGAGAATGACATGATGGAGACATGATCTGCCCAAAAGATTGTGCTTTTCCTGTAAYAGCATTTCTTAGGTAAGAGACTAAGTACAAAAGATAAATCCTTCCTAGAGGAGGGTGGATATCGAGCAAGAGGTAATAATCCCAAAAACCAAGAGTGTTTTCAAGGTTACTGAGAAGATACTCAGTCATATCTTTTGGTCTTGATGAGTAAAAATTTAGGACTGATTTACCCTTCTTTAAGGGATATAAATAATTAGGTGCAAGCATGGATAAAAACCAGAAACACCAGCCATTACTTCCTACAACCTGTATACAGACAATAGACAAAAAACATATCAGCAAAGGTAGAAATTCTAATGAAGCTCCAGCCTCAAACTGAGGCAAAACAGAGAACTAGGGCCGACCCTCAAATATCACAAATGTTGCAATGAAATCCGGTGACAAAGGAACTGAAAAAAAAAAAAAAGCTCAGAACACATGTTTATTTTGTGATTGTGCAGACATGCTCCATTTTTCCTTCAGATATTGMAAATGTTCCCTTGTTACTGCCAGAACAGGCAGCACAATCAAAAATCATGTATCTCAAATACCTCTCTGTGTATGAAGAAACRAAGCATCAGGCAGGATGTCTCAAGTTTTTCTCTTTATTATGAATAGACCTAGAGTGAGACAAAGACTTCTCCCTGAATGATGGTGGAAATTTGTTTTTTGAATCTGAGACTCAGGAAAAGGATCAAAGATGAATTTTTAATATTTTCTTGGGAAAAACTTTCTCAATCTATACTTCAAGTCTTAATATACAGAAAACTCAGATGTTATAAATACTTCACCCAGACATGACAGAAAGCTGATACTTTCATCTCAGAGGGCATAAAACCAAAACTTTTGTTGAAGAATTCCAAGGAGYGGAAGCTACCTTGTCCCAGCACAATCAAAATTTGAGCTCATAAGAAAAAAGGATATTTAAATAACTTGAAAACATTTTTTAAATGACAGATAATCAAATAGAGTAGAGAATAAAGTAGAAGGTCCAGATGAATCTTCAATAAAAAGCAGTTAAACATAAAGAATGGTGCAGACACTGGTGGAAATGAGGGCTGTACTCTATTGGTTATAAAATACCCTTAAGTCCAATAGGTTGACTTGGCAAACAAGTTTTGAAGCTTTACCCTCAAAATATGCAGAAAAACACTTGATCATAAATATGGGATGCTAATGTGTGAATGCAGRATTCATTCATTCACCTCTAATTTAYGTTTTTTGATTTCTTCAAAATTTAATCCCACACCAATTACCTACAATTCTTAAAGAGGTGAACAGAAAGACTTCAGAGACAATAACTTTTATGCACACACATACACAGGGATAGATCACACGTATTATTATGCAATTATATACTATTCAAACATGTATCTACAAAGGACCACAGTCAGCTTGATTAACATTTCTGGGAAAAAAGTCACCTCTACAAAGTGCTACCAGAATTTCCCAAAACTGTGTTCTCATACCTTTGCATAAGCAGTTGTCTTGATAAACCACTGTTTGAGATATTTCTGTTCCACTTTTGCTCCTGAACGCCACGAGCARCCATTGTCATCCACCTGTTCATTAGCTAGAACAGTCTGATCCACTGGGTCCCAGTTAACCAAGGCCTAACAAAAAAAGTTGCAGGAAGAAAAAATACTTTGAGTGGCTAATTAAAAACCAGAATCTTACTTAAGCCATGCCAAATGAATTATACAGAAGCACACCTTGAAAGTTTACCTGAGTTTTCTATATTTTAAGACATCTATTTGAATCAGCAACATGGATTCAGATGGAAAAGTTTTGAAAATTCATCTTCTCAGAACTCAAAAGTCCCAAGAATGCAGTTGGCAATATTTGCCCAGACTGATCATGGTAGCAGGATAGGCTGACACTTGACTGCTTGACTATTATATATAAGTAAGTGTTCCAATTGACTATACTACAAATAAAACAGTTTGATGTTTTACAAAACAGCTTCTGATGTTTTACAAAACAGCTTCAAAGTTTTTTACTACTGATCCAAAAGTGTTGAGTCAGACTGAAGGAGATGAGTAAATAAGGATGTCCAACTTAAGAGGAGAGAATCACAAAGAAGTATTACAGTGGTCAACTATGTTTCAAGTGCAAGGYTGATACTATCTGTATGTAACTTCTGTCAACTGTGTGAATTACTTTCAGAATCACCTTTCCTTATCAATACAACTGCATTAAGAAAAAAGTAAAGTGAAATTAATGTTGGTGTTCAACTCCACAAACCTTGTTTTTTATGCTTTTTTATTAACTGAAATACCAGACATAACATACTGTGAAGGGACCAAAAATCAAACTCACCCTCCTCCAGTGCTCAACAATTTAGCTGGAGACTTATCAAAAAGGATCTAAGATCACAAAAGAATCCTACCCAAAAGTGGCATTAAAAAGTGGCTAGATACTAACTTAAAAAAATGAACAGAAAGAAAAAGAAACAAACAAAGCAATAGAGTAATCCATTATATTGAGTTTTATTTAGTATTTGAGCTAAATCAGTCTGAAAAACAGTGGCTGCGGTTCCATAGAGATCTAATACATTAAACGTTTTTTTTTTTAAATTTCAAATTACTTTTTTGTGTAGGGGGAAGACTTCTTAATATCACAATCCAAAATTAGTAACTGTATTTATATTGCTCACCTTATATTTTATCTATCACTGATCACCTTCTGACCAGTTTCCAAACAACTAATATTGCTTCGTTTTAATTATGCTACATGTTCTTAGAAATGATAAATACCACAATCATTTTACAAATCTTAAAAGAAAGATGCAGGGAACATCTTGCTTAGAAATACTGCTCACAGTGTGAGCACAAAGTTTGACTACGTTGATTTATAAAAAATTTATTATCATTAAATGAATGAAAGTTAGTAGTTGATAAAAATAAACTCTCCTTCAAATGAAGCTTCTGTGAATTCAGATTGGAATCTAAACTTTTTACTTTTTGCCTACCTTTAACAATAACAACCAGTAACACCACACTGTGTTTTATAAAAGGCTTATGAAAATTCATTCGGAAATTAAAAGAAATCAATATACTCCACTGTTACAAATCTATTTTCCAGATGTTCAGAAAACACAGCTTCTTCAGTAATAATACAACACAGTATGAATGTGGCTCTAAAGCAATGATCTTTTAATGTATAAAATTCTGAAAAAACGCATCCTACTACAAAGTTAAAGTAACATCTAAAGAGAGATAAATCACACAATATTGAGAAGCAATAAAATGCAAGTTGCATAAARCTGCATTAGCATAAGCTTGTATTAAACTGGCTGTGACTCAAGGTTGAGAAAAAACAGTTTCTATTTTGATGGTACTGCATTGAATTTATGGTGAAAATTTTAGAAGGTAACTGAAACGATTTACATAATTACTTCGCATAACAAATCTTCCTGTTACAACTCACAAAGATATATCTAAATAAATCCTACAAAACATAAAGCAAATGTTTATTTAAGAAATMGTTAGCTGAAAGGTCTCTTCTTTGAATTTTTTAGGCTACACTTTGCTCCTTCCATCTCTCACAGACCTTTGACTAACATCTAGATGCCAGCTAATAAATGAAATCCTTAGTTCCTACTTGTACCTCACAAAGTCAACTTCTTAACAATGACAGCCTCTGAAACTGTGACCTCAGGAAGCTGCTAAAAGCCATCTACACAAAGAAAGCACAGTGCAAGCATGTTCAGAGCACACCAATTATCTTGGTYTCCTCACTATGCCAAATGTAGACCATATGCTTTCAAGATAGGATTCATCTTGTCTAACTTCAGGTCTCTAAAGTGTAAGTATCTATCACCAGGATTGCAGTCTCTGGGTCCACTACAGATTACAGGTATCTGATCAAAGTAACAGAGTCAGGGCAGGTATTAACCTCAGTGACACACTCACATATGGCCAGGTCAATAACCTCTACACTATATTGACTAGATGAGTACTGCAGGAAAAAGAGAGAGGATTTTGCTACAGTGAACAAAGGTGCCCTTTATGGACACTGCAGCACTCAGACAGACATTGTTAATCCTCCCTAATTGCAGCTCCTGGACATACTGAGCCTGTGTCGTCCTGCCAGGATAATTTCTGGTCAGACATGCATACTTCTGGAATAGAGCATTAACTAGGCTAACGCTCTRCTTGCCTTGTTCTTATCGTCACAGTAAGGCTATGAATTATCGCTTGTACCCAAAATGAAATTGTAATACAGGAGACCTCAAGCTGTGCAAAAGTACTGCTTAATACATACTGCAGATACACTGACAACACGAGACAAATATATGCTTTAAGTATATATGACTGTTCAAAGAGACCCAGGGTTAYGGGCTCTCTCTGCCATCTGTTTCCTGCCAAAAAGCAACCAGTTCATATCCACCAGAGATTACATCCCCTACAGGTTGACAGATGCTGATTTAAGTCCTCAAACTGATCCTTGACTTGAAAGCAGATGGAAGTTGGAAGTAGATTCAATCACTGGTACCCAAACAACTCCAGGATCCCACAGTACTTGGAGCCTGAATGCAAAATTTATTTTGTATATCATGCCTGCTTTGAATGAAGCAGCAAGCCCTGTACTTTTCAGATTCATCTGAGTTTGCTTGTCAAGCAAACAAATTTACAGATAAAAATATGTTTGGTATAGCAAAGCAAGGGGTTTAAACTTTTTCATTACAGAAGAAAAAAATAATTACAGAAGAAAAAAAAGGAAGAAAAACCCAATCCAGCATGCTAGTATATATAAAATATTGAGGGGTTTTTCTGGTTGTCATTTAAGATTTCTGAATACAAATGCAGATAGGAGAAATAGCTCAGTAACATCCTGCCATCCTAAATGCTACCTTTCACCATCAATCTCTTTCTCCAGGTTCAGAGAATAATTGCAGTACGTCCTTAATTATATCCTATGGAGTTTCCTAGTTTCTACACAATACAAATGCAATATCAAAGCACATTTAAGAAATCTTAAGTTTCCATTTTAACTTAGAAACATTCACTAAATTGCTGCTTTGTTAAAGTGCAGCTGTTCAGGTATTTTGGARCTGCGTTGCCTTGGTTATACACAGAGCTCTCTGGACTGCTCATTCAACATCTTCGTTTCATCTTGTGTTTAAGGAATTAACTCAAACCTTCACTTTTCAGATAGACTGATTCATGTTATTTACAAAATATTGTAATTTCTTAATGTACTGGTAACTGAAGAACAGCTGTGATAGTCTTATGACACCTAATACTTCTTTAATATTTTGGGGATCACAAAAAGGGTTCGGGAACAGGATGGTTATGCACCTAATCTCCAGTTATCCTATCCAAACCCATCAGTTCTGAGACAGTATAACAGTAACATTTCACAGGTAAGGAAATCTAACTGCTGAAGAGACTTCTAATGACCACAATGTCATCTATTCCACGAGGGAAGTTAAAATCTAGAAAAATCCATATTAAAGCTGGGAAGTAAACAACTAAAAACTGTATTCTGATCTGTAMTTCAATGCAAATCTCTGCCACACAAACACTTCTGACTTGACTTGTTACAATTGCCATTCATGTTAGTTAGCTATAAAATGTTATATAGAAAATTCTGTTATATATAAAACAAATTTTATTTTAGAGTGATATAAAATTAAGAGTACAATCACTTTATGGCTGTGAATGGACAATCCAGAAAYGTGTCACTGACATGAGTGACTTAAATTAGCACACCTGCAAAATAATGAAGGTCAATTTATACCTACCTCTTTTTGATATACCATCCCAGCTTCAAAAAGCTTAAGAAAGAGATACTGTGTCCATTTGTAGTAGTCTGGTAAGCAAGTGGTTACCTCCTGYAGAAATGAAAAAAAAAKTCCTGAAACTATTCTTGCTATTTTCCTACATTGTTTTAACTTAAACAATTAACCCAGGAGTGTATCRTATAGTCCACAGAGTAAACATTTATGCATGTATTCACGTATAAAACCATTTATTTGTACAATGCTTACAATGAGTAATATTCACCTGTAAACAAAACCAGAGAACATGGGCTTTGTGTGGGTTTAATGCACAACAAAATGTTCCCTTATTAACGTGGAATATAAAACTCCGTAAGATTAAAGCTGATAGATATAAGAACAGAAGATGAATGGAAGTGATCACAGCTGCTTGATGAAGGAAACAGCAAAACTAGGAAAAAAAATAGACTTCTCTCAAAGAAGCCATCCTAGCCAGGCTGCCTTTTCCACTGTTGCTCAGCAATGAAAAGCAGGAGCAGAGGCTGTCGATGCTCAGAGGCAGCAGGGAGCTGGCTGATGTGAGGCAGGCAGAGCRAGGAGCCTAYAGCTGAAGCTGTGGGTGCAGGAGGRCAGTGGAACARAACTGAGGAACCCAGGCTGCTGGCAAACAGTGTGGGGCAGGACAGGATGTAATACAGGGTAAGATTCTGAACTTCAAGATTAAAGACTCGGGAAGGATATCTCACACTCAAAGGTCAAATAAGCAACTGTTCTAAAAGGCAAGGGAGCTCAAGTCAGGAGGATGCTCTAGGTTAAAGTATGAAAAAAAATGAGTCATAAAAGCCACAAATGAGGAGAACTGTTACAAAGGAAATAAAGACAGATAAAAATAAAAGACAACATAAGAAGGAGGAATGGGAGTTAAGAGAACAGCATGTAACAATATAATGGATAGCTTTTTTAAAACTCAAAAACATTTGCTAAGTTTTTAATGAAGTCTGATAATTAAAAAACAAGCAGCTTACCAGCTGCTTACAAATTTCCATATTCTACGTGTTTGTTCTTAAAAAAACCTTTAAAATTTAAAATAAGTGTCTTAATATCCAAAGACAACAAATGGATCCCATCATTACAGACTCCCTGTTTTCTCAACACAAACACAAGTTTCACAGATGCAATGGAAGCCCACATACCTGCTTGAAGTGGAAGATGACTTCTACACTGAACTTAGAATTAATGTGAACATCTCTTGATTTTAAAGTTACTGATAAAACTTTATCAGTAAGCCAGTGATAAAATTTATTCTATTTGGAGTAGTTATCAAGCATCAGAAATAGCTCCAAATGTGAAATGTCTTTCACGTGGGCTTTCCGATCATCCTAGCTTCCCACTACGTGCAACTCCCGCAATATCATCTGCTACTCAAATGACATCTGAAATGCTCTAGCAGAAAATTCTTATTATATTTCTACAATTCTTCATATCTAGGTGCTTTGAATTTTATATTCCAGTGCTGAAACAYTGCTTTTAACAATTAATATGACCTTTGAATAGATGTGCCTCAAAAGTGTGTGTAAGAGGCTTTCAAGATCAGAAAGAGACATTTAATGTCAAGTTTTCAGCTCAGCATGTGAAGACCTAATAATGAAAAACAGTGGCTTGATTAAAACCCTGTGCTCTGCCATGGAAAAAACCCACTTGATAAGTCTGATTTCCATCTCTGCAACTAAGCATATTTAATAGTTTTTTCTCCCCTGCTTCTTCACACAGTGACAACTGTTCTTGTGCCAATGTGATGCCACTACAGGCAACAGAGTTTTATCACTGGAGTATCAGACACACAAATGAAGAGAAACAATCCCTTTCAGCACCRTATTAGATTATGTGAGCAATAAGCAAACAGTGAGTTGTCAAATAAAAATGGTAAAGTGCAAGGAGATTTGTCCTTTTGACCCTGAAGGGCAGATGTGTGTCAAATGAAACAAAAAGATTACATTTCCCAGTCTAAACAAGCATGTTACAAGCCATCCAAGCTTGAGCTACAAGGAGTAGTAGCTCTCTCACAAAGAGAAAATTGACATTTCGTAGAGAGAAATGCAGCAGACTGTATCACTGAAAAAACCYACCCCTGCTGTGTGGTCACTAAGATGCAAAAAGATCACTGTAGCTCAGAATATAACTTTATAACCATGGAGATTTGGAGTAACATTTCAAGTTAATGAAGAAAGAGAAATTACATTACTACCAAGTGAAATGAGCTGCTGARGAAGAGCCAGCAAACTCTTGCCAATCTTGAAATGTGTTTTGATGTTTTTTTTCCTATCATTTAGCACAGTAAGATTTACAGTTATAAATAATTTTCTCTGTATTCCAGTTACTGACTTTGATTAAATGAATGATGTCTGGTAAAAAGTTTCCATTAGGCTGCCATCATACTTAAATTAACGTGAATGTTAGCATCTCTATTTATACTTTATAAGCATGACAAAGAACTGCAGAATATTAACAGAACTAACTTAACTCAGAAATACAAGTTTGTAAAAGGGTTTGAAAAATAACAAGCTGGAGCCATTCAACTCTGCCAAAAACTACATTTCTGCTTCTCATCTGCGATCTGAGCACCAGCATAACAGCATACATATAGAACCCCCATATATAAAGCAGTACAGTGAATATATGTAACAGGATATTATCATACTTCCTACAAAAATAAATACCGACTAAAAATCAGAACTCATCTACAAATACGTAAGATGCTGCTCAGCTGTCCACTGCATGTGCTGTTCAGTGCTCTGTGACAGATTCAGTCATCACCCATCACCTCAGCATTTCAGAAGGGAATATGAMATGGGAGGGAAAGCATCTCCCTCTTCCCCCATCCATTTTCCCTTTTTCTTTTGTCAGCTTTAAAAAGAGTATCTCATACTCTCACCAAAATGCATCTTTATCATTTGTTATTGTTACTGCTTCTTATTCCTAGAGAAACAACACTCATTCATTAAAACAATTCMTTACAACAATTAAAACAAATCACCTATACAGTAGGTGATTTGCTTTTAAAAGAGCAGATACTGGCAAGGCACAGAAAAGATCCCTAGCCTTACCAAAAACTACCTTGCTTAATCCATTCATTGCATCACAACAATTTGTATTGAACAAATGCCATACTGGAGGGGTTGGTAGCTTCTTTATTTTTGCAAATAAATTCTTAGTTACAGACTAAATAGTAGTATTACAATCTATTTTTGATATCACTGCAACTTGGGAAGCAATGGGTCCATGTAAAGGTAAAAAAGCCATTCAAGATTATAAAATCTGATGTAAAAAATCCCTTTCAACTACCAAAAATATGGGTAACCAGTGCATTAAAAAAACAAAAAACAACTTAATCTGGATGAAAGATTTTGGTGTCCAATGAAAAAAAAAAAACCCTCATTTATCAAATGCCTTGTTTTAAAATTCATTATTTGTTCTAAATCTGCTCCTTTCTTACAATTTTCTATTATGAATCTCTGACCTTGTAACTTGTTTTTGCTTGCATTTTTAAGAAGGTTACAACTTCAAGCTACTTCTATGGCCACTAAATAAAAAAATTACAGGCTGCATGAAAAAGTTTATCTTTTCTAAAACCCACCAGGCATTAYGAATAACATATAACTAGACTGGAGAGAAGCAAATTACTAGTTTATTACTAATAAATTTATTTTTAGCATAGTCTTATGCTGTCCTGAAGACAGGCACGTTGCACTTATTTAAAGGGAGATAAGAAGAAAAAGTCTGGATGGATTTTTTCAAAATCTATTTGGGAAGATAAAACAGTCTTTAATTAATTATATGCCTATTTTGGTTTTCAAGGGCAYGTACCACCTCATCCAGAAGTATAATTATTTGATTTTCAGAGGTTTAGAGCTAGACCAACCTACATTTCTAAATTAATCTGAATATTTGTATTTGAAAGGCCCTTAGTTTTATGCTTTATTAGCTAGAAACACAAACTCCATACAGTGCCTACATTTTAGAGCATGAATATACTTTCTGAAAAAAAAAAGTAGCCTTGTATCAACAGTTTCTTTTTTAAAAAAAAATCCATTACAAGTAGGGTCACTGACTATCAATGATATATGGAAAAGAAGAAAATTTCATAGGTAATAATCTATCCACCATTAGTTTTATGCAASGTCAGGTAGTACACACGAATGATAACTTCAAAACTAAACAGAAAAATATCTGCACAAAGAAAATCTAACAAAGATTTCATTTTTAATGTTCAAAGCAGAAGGGGAAAATTACTCTTATGCAAAAAAATATATCATTTGGAATGCAGAAATTAAAAAGACAAAAAACCTTCACAGACTGGGATGCTTTCTATGAGAAAGTTATGGATTGATAATAACAGTGGTGAACTGATGGCTTACTGGGAACATGCACTCAGTCTGATGACRGTCCTTAACAAAATAAAGGAAAAATGTTATATGCTCTCCATCTTTTGTTGCTGATGATACTAATCTTGGAAAATGATACTGCCTAACTCCCCTGAAAATCATGTTTAAAAGAAGTAGCAGGCAGTTTGCTATGCTGTTTGAGCTGGTATTTTTGAAAAATCTGATCATCAGGAATTTTTAGATTACAGTTATCTTAAAACCAAAACATAATGTTAGGGATTTTTTAGTTTTTCATGTGTTTTTAATGTCTCTTAGAGACATTTCTTCTATGTTCAAACTTCAGATTTTCAACCTTTCATCTGAGATAAATGTTCAGAAYAGAAATGTTCTCTCACTTACTGATTTTTAAAAAAATCTCACCCCAAAATCACACATTTTCAAAGTGATTTACAAATATAATATGTCTAACCTGAGGAACTTAAAATATTTCCATGCTTGAGGTCAAAAGTATCAGAAAATATTAGTATTTAAAATTACTCTATGCAAAATACTTAGAAAGCKATTTTATGCATTTAATTTCTCCTTTTGTCCAGATTTTCTGTTTAGGAGAGTAATTTTAAAGTGTCTTTGTAACCTGACTGAAATAATCTAATTATATAATAATSTAATCTTTTGATAATGCCTTATTTGTGGTACCTTACCACAAGTAAGTAATTTCACTGACAGCTACAACATGAAAATACTTGAACATTTTGATTTGTAAGACAGAGAGAACAATRAAAAAACCCACAGGAAAATAAAAGGAAATTTCTAGCATTGTAACTACACAGGGATTTGTTCATAATAATTTTATCAAGCAGCAAGATCTAACAAGWCTTCATGTTCCCAGACACAAATTTCTTGACCACCAGACATGACTTTTTAAGCAGGCAGATTCTTTAGAATATGCACTAGGTACTCAAAACAGATTATTTTTCTTTTTTCCACTTCTTTTCCCTTATCATAACCAAAATGATAACATTTATGTAAATTTCCTTCCCATCATCTAAGCATATACTCTAAGCTGTCCACAGAGAACAGAGACAGTTAACATAAAAGATTCACACTTTAAAAAGGCAATTCACCACACACTAAGCCAAGGATCTAAGCTGGGAGAATAGGTTCCCTCCAGCATTATTTGCTAAGTACTATGCACTAGCACAATAGAGGGGCAGATGTAATCAACAATGAAATTAAATTAAAATCAGGCCCCTATTTTGTATTATGGTCTTGGTTAATTAGACCAACACCATATAAAATCTGTTTTTCTTKGATTGTTCAGAGGAGTCAGTAATACTAGTGGGTTTTTTGCAGTGTCACAGTATTTTGTAAGCCACTGATTTAGAGCMATACAAGTAAAGAATACTATAAAAAATACTCCTTACCTGAAAAAGCTCACTTTTAAGATAAGCACTTGTACAGCACATTGCTTTGGTGTGCAAAGATGCTTGAGTTAGCCCAGAAGCAGTACTGCTGAGGTAGTAAGATGCTCTGCCCAGCCTAATGAGCCCTGCAGAGAAGCAGGCTTTATCAGCCTGGAAAACACACTCTGCTACAGCTTAGCCCTTCCATTTCCACAGGTAGTTCTTTCATGACCAGGTCAAATATCTGTGCATTTGGAGGTCGCATAGTATTTAAGGTATCATGCATTTTTTGCAATGAATAAACATATCTGTTTCTAATGGACACCATTCAGGTCCCTCTGAACTCCAATTAGTAAGGCAGGSTTTCCAGGTAAAACAAAACTTAACTCATAAGCTAAGAAAATTCTAAAATATGTTGTGTTTCAAGCAACATTATTCAGCAGTTTTAAAATCTTACCTTTCAAAACCACCAGATATGCTTTCCTAGAGCATTCTAAAGCATTTCAATTACATGGAAGTGGAGTTAGTTACAGAATATCAGAGCCCTTTCCACAAGTATCCAGAGAATCCTGGAAGTTCATTATCTAAAACACAGTTTACTAGAAAAATGAAGGTAACTCTCAAAGAATAGACACAGAGATGACAAATAATTTTTCCCTGTCTACTTATACTTCCTGTGATGGTTTTCAGTACTGGCAATTTTCCATCTGTTTTTCAGAAYGGAAGGGCTAAACAGAAGTTGATACAAAAGAGATGAATTTTCTCAATATTCTTGAAATGCAACCTGTATCATTCACCTCGTGTGTGTGTGCACGTGAGTTTCATATCACAGCCTACACATACAATTTCACTGCATTCAATTAYTGCTGTACTACAATGTGTAGAGAGAACCTCTGAGAGATCAACAGCTTTAAACATTAGATGCCAAGAATGTGTGCAGTGAACCTTCCACAGCAAATCTGTTCTTTTCAGAGAGACTTTCTGGGCTACCAAGAAAACTAAAATCTTGCTTAAAAGGCTTATACTGAAAAATCTTGCCATATATGAGACATGACAAAATGTTTTTTTAGAGGCAAGACATACAAATAAACAACTTCACCTTCATGATTAAAGAAAAAAGATGGCATGTCACAAACTGTCAGAAAACTTATGTTTTCCTTTTTCAGATCTACAATACTGCTATAAAAATCCAAGATTAGCATCTCCATCATTCTATTCAAAATCACAYTAAGGTGATAAGCAACAGCTATTGCTGAGAATATAAAGGTAGTGACTGACTCTGATTCACTGGTAAATGCAATAACCTCACAATCGCTTCAAACGCTGATTTCTTTTTTATCTAGAAAATGACATTAGCTTATGTCTGATTGCATTTGCTAAGCTTTTTAAGGTGAACACCCGACTCTCAAACATTAGTGTTTTAAATAAAATTTCTGGTTTCCAAAATGATTTTCATATGAAGACCTACGAAAATGCAGGCTTACACTTTGAAATTTGGAGTAATAGAACRAAGCAACCATTTCAATTTACTATCTTTAAACCCTTGACATACACACCAAAAAGAGCACTCCTCAAAAAATRCATACCTTAACACAAAGGCATTGCTGTTTCATAAGTATCTGTCTATTGTCTTATTTCTAACACAGAAAACTGATACTTCAAAGAGATGAAAAAGCATAGAGAAAAATCCAAATACAAAACTGAAATAATTTTAAAGATTCTCCTGAACATTGATATTATCAGATTATATCAGTATGCCAAAAATTAGGGAAATCTCATAAAAAGCTTGATTATACAGTTTAACAACTTAAACTGTTCACTACCAAAGGATCCCGTATAAAATAAATGAATAAATAAAATTATGAAACTCCATGGGTTTCAATATTCCATCATACAATAAAATAAAGCAGCATCCATTTAAAAAAGAAAATCTTACCCTTTCCCATGTAAAAGACAAACCTAGTGCATCAAACTGTTTCCTCATGTGTTGGATATTACTGCAAAATAATAAATTAAAAATTATTAGTTTAAGATATTTCGATCACGTGATCATATTTAAAATCTGGTGCTTACAGAGTTCTAAGAAATCAAAAGCACTAGCTAAACTCTAAACACTATGATCTCATTAGCACTAAACTCAGAATTGTCAAAATACTCCAATAATAATTTTAAAAATGCCTAACTTATTTTGGTTTGCCATGGCTAAATATATAATGCAATACATTTTTTTCTCTTGATTTGAATGCAACTTAAAAGTAAATATGGCACTGCAGTTTGAAGGCAGCATTACTCAACCATCATTTCATAGTATTTTTAATTATCTTTACTGCAGTTGAGTCAAAGGGCCCTCTTAAATCTCAGTGCAGTAAGGGATATTTCCACTGTCAGCTTAATCCRCTCTATTCTAGCAATGCTATCCTGGTTTATTTTGCTGTGGCTCTGGTGATTGCATGGCTGTATGATAACCTGAATCAGCTTAATCATTCAGCTACAGATTACAAAAATTCTCAAAAAAAAAGCCCACCCATTTTCTTTCTTCTCTCTGATCAACAGGCTGATCAAACCAAAACTGCGGCCCACAAAACCAGCTGAGCCAATGCAAAGGAGRTAGTGGGAACACGTATTCTGGGACGTGACAAGGAATTCCCAAACTTTTGGTGGCAGTGTCACCATAGATAAACATTATTCAACTATGACACTGTAGGGTTAGAGGCTGCCCTGAATGGATTGTATTACAAATGTAAAATAAGATACTTCAGGATATACAGTGACATTTTAGTTTGAAAATGTACTAAACGCACTTCATCAAAATACCCACAATTACACAATATTAGTGACCTTGTGTGAATTCATTCACATATGGTAAAATGGATTAAAWTTTCTTATGGACTTTTACCTTTCTACTAATATACATTCTGTCAGATAAAGTAGTATCTACCCTCCCAGAGGGGCTAAGTTGACAGTCATGAAACCAAGCATTTTATTCTGATCCAGAAAAAACTTGAAGTGCTGAATAATTGAGTAAACCAATTATTTAGTATTGAGAGGCACAGAGCCCCAGTGACACTGGAAAAGACCTGCCTTTTCTAGTAAGCCACCTTTCCTGGYTGGCTATGCCAGGAAATCCTCTTACAGACTCACTCTTACTGGGAGAAATGGTGCTTTCAGTAGTGCTCCTTTAATTCAAGTCCCATTCAAAGTTAACTGTACCAATAAAAACCAGAAAAAAGTAAAATTTGRATAYATTTTCACAAAGCTTCTGCCATTAYACTAACTCTTACTAACAGATTTKYCTGTTTGTATAAATAACTCGGTCTTCAATTTGGTTTATGTTTCTTCTGAGCTTTGACAATATAAGAAGTAATAAGTCAGCTGGAGTTACTTTGAAATCACCTCTCCAGAAAGTCAAGATGCTCTAAAAATTGGTTGCTTGCTCCTGAAAAATGCAAACTTAAATGTTCAGTGTCCCCCTCTTAGAGGGGTAGCTGTRTCTGCAGTAGGGATGACTAAAACACATCAGGCTGGTAACAAAGCTCCACATTCAGTTCACTCAACCCTGCTGCAGGCATGAAAAASATCAAGACAGGACAGTGGAGAAAATGGGACACAACAATTACTTGAGTGGTCAGAATCTAAGCTGCCTGTATGACAAACCAACTCCCTTCCTTAGAATAATCCAAAAAAAAAGGTATATGTAAATWATTTTCCTATCTGGATGCTACCATAATCAGTTCAATTACGATGCGCTAACTTTTCTCAGTTTTATAATATTGTTATCTAATACTTAAAACTAGGAAATTGTTCATTTCACTACTAAGGAAATTTTCAAGGCAAAATCTGGTGATGTTTCCAACAAGATAACTGAAGTAAAAACAAGGCACTCATGTAACAGACAGGTAGATTTGTTTTATAGATGAACTTCTACAGGCTTGTTGAAAGAAGACTATAATAATTTACTGATCGTAGCACGAATGTAATTGATAACTCACAAGACAATATGCTCGAGGATTTTTTAGAGACTCAAATGAACAAAACCAAGCTTCTGCATCTTGATGGCAACTGGTTCTCAGGCATACTCTTGTTTAAACAATACAGGAACGAAATTTAAAAAAAATCGAGAAGTAATTCAGAATTTGTGTGCTGTGTCCACATGCATTCAGCCCTAGTGAAAGCAGTTGCCCTCATATTTTACTTGGAAAAGTATTAACAATCTTAAGATGGGACCAGCAGCACAAACATAACCCAAAACCCCAGCATTATCAAAGAAGGAAATGGTCAAGGTCTATAAAGATACCACAGCTAAATTACTGCATCCAGAGTACAACAAACAACTTCACTTAGGAAGACTGGTTTCCAAGTAATTTTTAGGAATTTACTTAAATAATTTACTTAAATAATTTTGTACTAATTTTAAAGAATATTAGGGGAATATACCACCTCATTCTGCCATCTAAAGCCCAAAATGCTCACAGAACTCACCAGCAATAATGGCTGCTTAGCACTTTCCAAGATCCAGTCTCAGACAAAAAAACCCTATCTCCTTCCTCTTCCACATGGCACTAAAAACTGCTAGCAAATCTAACCACATAACTCACAATTTTCCACTGTGTACTCTATACTAAGATTCACCTCACCATAATGAAATTCTGATTTATTTATACTCACTGGYTGGGTGTTTTGAGAAATGTCTCTCTTTGGGTATTTTAACATTCTACAATTTAAAACTCATGGAGATTAAAACCTTGAAAATCATCCCAATATATTTATTTTTCAAAACAGAATCATCTGCACAGCCTCATAAAACATTGTCAAATAACCTTGGTCCCAGATAACCCAGTTTCTCCTGTACTTTCTTTCTTCTGTGCTAGTTTTGTTCTGTTTTGTTGGTTTATGGGCACCACAGTGAGGTAGGTATTCACAGTGAAAATGCCATATTTCAATTAATTTCACCTCTGTGTCCAGCTTGCAGGGTGAAGGCCATGTTCAACTGCAGCATTTTCTGCTGGTAAACCAAATGCATCCCATCCCATTGGATTTATCACCTGTCAACAAAAAGAAAAACCACAACGTCATGCAACTTTCTGGACTGGAATCAGCAAAACACACAAGCCTCCAAATAATGAAYGGTGCTTGGCATTCCAGCATTTGGTTTGTCTCAACTGACCTTCTTCCAMCCCTGCCAAATATGGCCAGCTTTGCTTTAAAAGATGACTATGAAGGGCACCTGTTATCTACAATGAGATGTTAGAGGGAGTTTAAAGTATTGTGATATAAACCCTCATAACTATTTCAATACCAGATAGACAATGACAAAACCCAATTCTTTTAAATTTGTGTGTTGGTAAAATCAGCAGTTGATGCTACCACTAGACAGAACCAAATATTCATTCMAAAAAAAAAGATATTAAGTAAAAATAATTGAACCAACAGTTTTATAACTGTAACTGATGTGTAGCCTATTATTCTATTCCTTTGTGTCAAAAAAAAAGGAAAGAAAAATACCCTTTTAAATAACTTTAAATCCACCAGATAAAACTATGAAAAATCTGTTTTAGTCAAATTTCACTAAAACACCTTTTGCAAATAYAGACTCCAGACTGACAAATTGTTATTTCATAACCACAAATAAATAAAGGTGGGAAAAAAGTTTACTACAAAATATAATAGATCATTTCTATTGAAATAAAGATATATTTTTCCAATTAACACGCACATTATTTAGAAAAATAATTTAGAAATACAGTAAGTATTCAAAAATCGTATCTAACAACCAAGGAAAGAAAGGCCAGTACTTAAGATGCTGTCATTAAACACATATATATTGTTTACTACCTGATAAAGCAAATTCTATTTCTTAAACTTAGAAATGTGCTATAGATTCAATGATAATTATTAAAATGAAGCAAGTTTAACAATATCAAAACATGAGTAATATTTTATAGGTTGTAAGAAATCAAAATTTCTCCCCCTTTAAACTATGCATTTGTATAAAGAATGTGTTTCTTAGTGGCAYGTAAGCAAACAAGCAATAAAAAAGCAACCCCAGCCATACTAMTCTCATAATACATCTCCATGTGAAAAATCTGCTCATTTTGGAAGCATAAGAGCTACTTTTGTCACTGCTTTGAATTATTTTTACTCTTCTTTGCCACCACTTTCCAATCTTCTCACTTAATGTAATGTTTCATAAAAAATATTTTATAGACGTGTTTATAAAGATGCCCTAGGCACCAAGACAGTGTAAAAGCAACAGGATTTAATAGATGTGACTCCTCAGCATTCTCATTTTCAGTACTGATCTAAAACTAAACCTGCTGTTTATCATTACCTTATTGGGGCAGAGACAAAACCAAACATATTAACCAGTGATCACCTGTGATCCAAGCCAGCCCAGAAAGGGCCCATGCATAACACATTTTTGATGTCGAAAATTTAAGAGAAATTATAATGCTATTCTGTGTTACCAATTTTCCCTATTATCAGACAAAYTATTGTTCCTCATACCATAGTATCAGAAATTATGAGTCTTAACTGCCTACTTCCTCACATTTTAGAGGGGGCAATGCTCCATGGAAAATGTCAATTGGAGCCCATATCACTACTCAACACCCCACTGAAGCACACATCTGCCAAGATTATCTCCCTCCCTGACCATCCAGCCAGCAGTCAAAACTATTGATATAAAGTACAAAAAAAAAGACAGGTACACTTTCCATAACCTATAAATACCAACAGATTTTTTAAAGGACATATTAAAATATTAATTTATACAGCTTCATTCTTGTTGACCATTAGTATTGCTGACAACCTGTCTCTGGACAAACGTGAGGAAATAAACCAGATTTTTTTTTCCCCATGTATAATACATATTTTTTCTATTTAAATGCCCTTTGTTTAGACCAATGCCCTATCTTTGAATCCCTACAAATGCCTTCTTTTGGTACAAAGTGATGCACATTATGTAAGACTAGAAAAATCACTCTTGGTTAATTTTTGTAAAATTTGGCTTCTGAACATCTCCTGGATATAGACAGGCAGCCAAAAGAAAGACACAATCACATTTCTCATGTTCCTGAGCAAAAGGATGTGGGAAAAACAACTTCACTACCAGCTACAGACACCCCAAAAGGACTGACGGATGCTCAAGACAGTTCATGTGCAGACATTTTACCACTGTGCCATCAGCATTAGAAGCAGCAACCTGTGCACACAGATCTTCCAAATTCTAACATTTATCAAAAATACGATACTCACTCTTTACATTCRAAAGTTCAATTTAACAACCAAAAGCATTCCTCAAGTTAAAGGTCTGAAGAAGTATGCTAATTCAAGTTTCAGTCAGAAAACTGAATTTAAAGAGACATTAAAAATATCCTCAAATTAGTCTCCAGGATAGATCTATTTATGTAGTTGCTATAGAGATGAATGTAACATGCACAGTGGTTTAGAAAATTATTTTAAATTTATTGTCTCTTTTACTTCTCTACTATTAATGGATGTGAAAGGTTTGTGAAATGCATTTGTCTAAACAGCAGGTCAGCTCCTTCTGGCTGTATTCTGCAGCTAAAATGCCACAGTCACCATGCAGCATTTGACATTACATCTTAACTCTACTTACCTGACATAAAAGTCTCAAGAGAYATGGAAGAAGAGAAAAAAATATGCAACTAACATGTCAAAAGTTGGCACAAAGGAAAAAGGAACAGYTTGACTGTTCAAAACAAATTAAAAATACGAAGAAAAGATAAAGCATTTTTGAAGACCAAAGAGTTATTCCTTGTAGCTCCTGCTGGTTGGTCACTGGCTCTACTAGCAGAAAACACGGCTGCTCTCCCTAGCAGCACAGATAAGCAAAAGGAAAACAAGTCATCCACTTTCTTGCATGTTGACTGTTTCCAGCAGTAACCTCTAAATCTTATGCAACTGAGGGACCCATTCTGCTCACTGAAATGACCATTCATTCAAGCATCACTTCTCTAAGTAGACAATATTTTCTCTAAGCTTCCAGGAGAAAGAAAAACAAATTGCTCTATCTTGTAAAACAGGAGGCTGCCTAAGCCTAAGGATGCCTACACCTGGTAAATGAAGGCAGGTTGTGGTTTCAGCCATTTTATGATGGCAGAAGCCAGAGCTATCACAAAGGCATTCATGTGTTTCCGATCCTCACTGTCTAATAAGTGGACAGGTAAACTCTTCCTGCTGAAAACTCCCAGGTTAGTCTTGAACACACATGGCATAACTTCAGATCCTCAGAAGTTCACATGACTGGGCGGGATAAATGACGAAAGACTGGCATTTTCTACCACTTAGCACGTTTAGCACTGGAGCAAAAAAGTTGCAAGGAAGTGATTAGTGTGTAGGGAATAAAGTGCTCAGTAAATATCACATTGARTGGTCTTTTTGGGAACAAATTATCAAAAATGAAAACAGTTGCATCTTGAAACATTTTAGATGCTGAAGACTGATGCAAACTAGCTTAAAGCATTGTTGTAATAATAACTTCACAGCATGGACAAACATCTGTTGTTAATGATGGCTAGAACTCTTCATGTGACTGTGGGACCAAGCAGAGGAAGACACAGCCACTCCATTGATTCAACGCTGAGATCTCAGCTCTTCCTCTCAGAGTATTTTCATCTRTACACTGCTGCAACAATCAGCTCATCACACTACATCAGTAGGTGAGAACAGTGCACTGTGTAAAACAGACCTGACAATGATCTCATAGCACTCATTTCCAAGCCTCCATCAACATAACTAGGACTGGAGATTCAGTGAATTTGCCTCGGTCTTGGTGAGAAAATAAAGAACATGTTTGCTCTTCKGATGCTCAGTATATCTCAGAATTATGACCAGGGAGCTGACATACTGTTCTTAACATTCAAATCAATGTATTCTAAATTTTMAGAAAGACAGTGGAATCAATGTCACAAAAGCTTGCAAATAAATGTATTTAATTCAGAGAATGTGTAATAAAAGAAGATGACCAGAAACGAAAATTAAGTGGCTTACTGACAAATCAGTTGTTTGAATTGACACTTCAAAGTTTACATTCCTATCCCTAGTTATAGGGGTATAACATGACACACTCTACATGAACTAACCAGAAAAGGCTGACGAAACAGGCGATCCGTGATCACAAGTTCCAGCTGCCAGAAAACACCCCACTGTGGATCTCACAACTGCAACCACAGGCAGGTAAGACAGTGAGGACTTGCAGTTGCAGAGAGCAAAGGAAATGATGGTTGCTCCTTCCTGCTGCAATTGGGCTGAGCTTGTTGAAAATCTGATCTAAACCAACATATTACAGATACAGCACATTTTAAACACAAGACCTCCCCCTGAGCTTAGATTCTTTCTTAGATTCTTTTAAGTATACCAGGCAATAGACACCATTACACAACAGGTAGAAAATACCACCACCACCAACCAAAAATTCCAAGCAGACAGGGCACCCTGGGAAACAGATTAAAAGAATGAATTTTTGACCASTGTGTACATTCTAAAAAGGACTATTTCAATGCTTCTCAGCCACACAATGCTAAATATTAGCATTTTGAGAAGGCACTTTCAAAATAAAAATCAACCCATACAGATTTCTTTCAAACCATTAAATGCCCATTTATTTTTATTCTCACAAAACATAAAATAGAAAAAATTATTCTATGTCCACAGAGTACCACAAACATTTTGAGAACAAAGTTTCCTTTTGCTTCCTTAATCTCACACATTCTTGTCTAACATAATTACATTTAAAATGATATCTCATTTTCTCTTTTTCTTTCAAAATGAAACAGAATGGGYTCATTAACACCTTCAGTACTCACTACAGGAAAACTGAAATTAAGTAAGATTCAATTCACACACAATMCTTGTAATATTTTCCACTTGATTTATACCACATGAAATAACCCRACAAAAGGATACAAGTCTCACACAAAAAAAGGTGAAGAATAGCAGCTAGTGATGATCAAAAAATGGATCTATATTGAAATAATTCATCCTACTGAATAATTAACTATAACATTTTAATTAAACTTCCCTGTCTGTCTTCAATACCATTCACTTTTGCAATTTCAAGAGTATTAAGATACACTACTGAAAGGGAAAACAATTAGTGAAAATACATCCAATTTAAAAGAAGAGATCTTATTGATAAAAAGAAAATGCTCTTCAAGTTATTTAGGGATATTGCAAAAATATCACTGACTATATTCTAATCCCATCCATCCCAGTTTAAGTATAAATTATGGAATAGTAACTATAGTGTGATTGTAGCATGCAGTCATTTCACCCTGATTTGATTAAAGAAATGATTATTCTCATTTCTGTACAACTCTCACATGTGACTGCCTTGCTTTGGTATCAGTTTCATTAAGAAGATATCACAAGAACTATCGAACTGAATCACTCTCTGTTTACTGATCACTAAGGGAATTATTCTCAGTCCTCTGAGASGCACAAATTATCCACTTTGGAATTTATCAAAGACATGCTAATGACAGCATGATAAAGCAATGGTAAATACTTGTTCCCAGAGCAACAGCAGACTGGAAATGTGCCGTAGTGAAAATCACCATGAATACCTGTACCATTTCTGCACGGCACTTCCAAATAATGAACAGGAAATCTCTTCTTACAAAACTCCTACATTTGAACTCACAATATGCAGGTAAATTCACAGAGAAAACCAGAAACTGCACAGCATAGTTCTGGATGACTTAAAAATTGCTACAAATTAGTAATTTAAAATATATAAATCAATTTTTCATAGCATTTTATAATAAATATGCTTGTAATAAGATCTAGAACTCTCCATATACAAAAAATTGTTTTAATTGCACTTCAAGAAATATGTCACCCTTAACACATTTTGGAAAGACTAACTCAGTAATCTACATGGTTCACATTTCCCATMCAGAGACTTCAAACATCATCTTCAGGAATCCAAATGTAAACAAGTTATCTTAAAACAGATGTACTCTACAAATCATTTATCCAGCAACCCAATCCAAGTCCATGACAGCTTGTTTCCCATGCACTGCCTACAGGTCCTTGAGGAGTGAGTGCTGGAACAAGACAATGCTTCACACTGCTTTCATCTGAAGTCTTATACTGAAGCAGTATTTCTTTCAAAAACAAGGTTGGGAAAAGAGCAATAAATATTTCTTTTCCCACTTAAAAATGCTGGTGAAGTACAGGTTTCTYGCAAATATCAGTAGAGTTTAGTGTGTATTACCTCTCTAGAATATTTTAATTGAAACAAAATCATATCTTCTTGAACTGAAAAAAATGGAATACTAATGTTYCATTTTAGAAAAACAAAACCACAACAGAGTCAAAATTATTTAATACTTGCCCAGTTAAAATTTCAAAATACATACAATATGAAGAAATTACACAACTGAATTCCGAAGAAGCTCTAAAGTAGCTTTAATCTATTTGTAAATGTATTCTAGCCTATCCTTACTAAAATACTACAAAATATGGGCCAATTCTTGCCTGTTCAGATTAAATCAATATGTAACTAATTTACTGGTTTCTCATGAAGGCATTCTTTATGAAAAATACCTCCATCTTATTCAACATAAATTGCTCTCTTACTCAATCATATATTCTTGTCAACTACGTACACACCATAGATACCTCCTCTCTTTATTAAAAAACAAATATACACCATAGTCTGAAGCTTTCCCTGGGAACTGCAAATCTGAATGGTTTCGCCTGTAATTTTCATGGTAACAGCCCATCATTCCTCATTGCCTCACATTTATTTTTCAGTTTGAAAAGGATGGATGCAACATTTAAACAACATTGCTGCTCAAAAATCTTACCCTAACCTTGCATTGAATGCCTGCAATGGATGCACTTCTACTCAGTTTTTTGACTGGAGAAGAGTTAGCAGTCCCTAGCCTTTCGAGCATACAATATTAAAGCTGAACTTTGAGAAAGAAATTGAAAATCAATGGAATAACTTAAAAATKATGCATACTAACAGTTTCATTTCTAAAGCATTCCTTTTTTTTTAGGTACTGAAGAATTCCACTAATTCCCTGAATACAGGGAAAAAAAATTGTTTTTCTTGGGACTATATCAAATTTCATGATATAAGTATGTCCTAGCRTAGAAGTATCACAATATCTTATTCATCATAATAATCTTTGACAGATTGTACAACCATGACAACGGGCAGAGAACTTTTAGAGGTTGAGAAATTAATTGCAAAGAGAAAAYCAATTATAAAGACTCTAATTCTAAGTGATGGAAAAATTAGCATGGCTAATAAAGGAAAAGTTTTTTAAGATAAATGGAAATTCCAGCAAGTTAATGCACATCACTAACACAATATCTCTCAATCTGACACACTCAGAAGATCATCTGAGAGATTTTTAATGTCTCYTAATCGTAAATGAAAGCTAAATTCTTTGGCTGCCCACCTTTAGTCAAAAATAGATGTTCAAACTGGTTAACATAACAGAAGATACTAGTATTTTTAGAAATCCAGTATGTTCTACAGGCACTTCTTCAAAGTAATTTTTACATGAAATATAAAAATATGCTGAAATGCAAGATGTAAAAACTTGAAAAGTCTGGAAAAATCTTTCTGGAAAAACAGGCAAATGTGGAAATAAAAACTTGGTTGCTTGGCGGCTTTTGTATTTCATTGAAATCACATTATCTTTTCACTTTTCTCTGAAGGTTTCCAAGAAAGGTGCTTACTTACCTTGTACTCAAAAGTTTAYAACTAGAGAATGCTACAGAATGTAGGTAATTATTTTCACTTTATTTTAGCTAGTACAAGAGGAAGCAAGTTTTCATCTTCCTGAASTGCAATTTATTGGCTACCCTCTCTGCTATTCACAAGAGATGGCTATATCCTAAAGTGACATTTCATCGATGGTCTTAGCATCAAACAAGAATCAAACATCCTTTCAAATGCCTCATTAGTGAGATCCAAGTTCTGGTCATTCACAGGAGTCACAACAGMCATTGGGTTTTTTTCTCATTTAAGGTCTAAGGCAGTTATTTCTTTYTCCTGTATTTTTAAAAGCCTAAGAATGCATTTCTGTAAAGCAGCAGCAAGTATTCAGTGCATGGTATGTTCATCATTGGCATAAAACACATAGTATTTGGAAAGGCAGCACACTGAATAATGCAGTGACTATACCTATCAGAGTCTCATGGATGGTGATAAATCCAGGAAATGCTACACTTCTACAGCACTTGTAGCAAGGAAATTGCAGTTAGTACCAAAACCAGCAACTAACATTTCTTTTTMCATTTCATCTTCTTTGTACTCTTTTGAGATTGATTCCTATATTCTTGAGCTGYTCCTTCTCTCTTGCACATTAGAGACAATCCTTACTGTCATCCTAGATCCTCGCCTATGCTATTTCTCACTTTTTGTTCCCTTCTTTTTCTTATTCCTACTTTCTACTGTTTTCCCAGATTCTTCACATTTCCCCCCTACCAAATGTCTTTCCTCCATAATATGGCTGTCACTCAGGCCACAGTTCTCCCACACCTTCCTTACATCCTTCAAATTTTACCTGCCAGCCTCTACTGAACAATGCCAGCCAGGCTCCCWCTGCAGATTGCAGGGACAAGACTCTCAGCTACCTCTTCTACCTAATGGAGAGACAGAAGGGACCAAGGGAGAAATGATGGCAGGCATGGGGCACACTGCGAAACAGAGAAATGTGGAAGGGAAAATGGGGTTTCTCCTTGTAGATGGAGCAAGAAAGGCTTAGCCTGTCTCATAGACTTGCACCTTAACAAGACAGCATTTCATATATGAGCAAGGCTGAAAGCCAAGGGGTCAGATGCCACAGAGCAGAAACTTTCAGCTACACACACACGATCCAATATGTGACATGTGACGTTATGTGATCCTGTTCATGTGACTTGCAGCAATCATGAAAAAAGAAGGGTGTCCCTCCCAGCTGGCACAGAGGGTGTCCCTCTGTGTCTGACAAATRACATAAACTGGTTCTTGAGAGCAGAAGAGGTGAAAGCAGTTGATTTTGGTGGTGTCTATTTACTCTTGCCAGGTACACCTTTTCCTTGCCCCTGGTCCCACCCAGAAGGCAGTAGGGTCATCAGTCTCCTCTCACAGAAACTGTGGCCCACAGGTCTCAGCAACACCGTGCCATACATGAGTGGATTTAGGCACCTGACACARCATCAGCYGTATCATCTGAGGGAGCTTCTGACYACCTGCTACCAAGTGACTTCCRGACACCACTGGCTTTAAAAGTCTCAAATTTCAATATACAAAGTTTCACAGGTCATAATCTACAAATCTGTAGTATGTATTCCACTTCCATGGATTCTGGARAATACTGATTTCCTGATCAATTATGATATTAAAACATAAAAAAAAACCCCATCAGTCCTACTGCTGATCTATTCTTACCTGCATCCCTCTCATTTTCTGGAAMCGAGCTACCGCATCACTGATGGTGTAGACACGAACATGGCCCATGTGAAGCTTCCCAGAAGGATATGGGAACATAGAAAGCACATAGAATTTTGGTCTTGATTTCTAGAAAGAAATTTTTAGAAACCAGTAACTACATGAGTTAACATTTCGCTTGAATAAATACATGTGCACATTATACACTACTAAATGACACCATGAAGAGAAACACAGTTCTGCTGGAACTGATACAAGTGAGCACTTATTATTGAATTATTTGGGGCTGTAAATTGAGATGTTTTACCAGACTCTGCCACCATCTCATCAATTTATACTGACACTTATATGGCACTTGAATGTTATGAAAATTAATTCACTTTTACTCAAAAAAAGCCACATTAGCAGAACGGAAGCTTAACAAACACTGTAGCATCTGCAATTGATTATCCCTGTGCTCTTAGTCTGCCCCAACAAAAACATGAAAACATAGCAGATTAAATTATTCTCATAACAATTTAAATAATTAATATTTTACTTTGTATCTACAACAAACACAGAGTTCACTCCTGGCCAGTTGTTTTTTTGCCAATTGAACTCCAGTAACTCCCAGAGTGACTACATCATTTGCAATTGCATGAACATCTGCTAAAGGGAAACTGCTCAGTTTCATTATGTGTGCCAAGATYCAAAGACATCTTACAAGCAATACTTTGCATAATGAAAAGAATGTAAAAATTTCATTTAGTTAGAATTGAAATGACAAAAGTTACAAAGAAATCACACATTCTCTCTCACATCAATTATTCGTAATACATCTTGATTACCAATGAATTTATCATTGATACATTAACAATATCAAGTATCACKGATACTCGCTAAATTCCTGTATTATTTTCCTCATGTTAATAATAAAAAACATACAGGCAACTTTTACTATTCTGAATTAAACTCTTTTAATATTTGTCAAATAATATTTATCACTTTTGTTCAATCACAGCAAAATCAGAAATAATCTGAGTACTTCATTGCAGCATTATACACTACTTGCCTCTTACTGAGATGTTATTTAATGYACTTGAATTATAAGGATAAAACAAAATACCATTAAAAATGGTATTGAGAACTTAGCGTTTGTATGCTATATGTGATAGCTATGTATATATGTATTTCAAAGACAGAAGCTTAAATGAATGCATTCCYTGCTACAGGTATATACGCACACTATTTCATCTCAGTTTTCTTCCCCAAAAAAAACAAGCTCTTTTCTCTCTTCAACGTTTTGATAGAATTATTYTTCTGTCGAAGAGAGGGCATATTTTAAGAGAGATGAACAGAAAAACATACAGGGGCACAAAAATGCTTTATATCTATTGTGGCAGAATAATTGTGAAGGCAAAAAGAGTCAGACACTGAGATACCATTGTTTYCAAGATCTTTTATTGCATGGGAGAACTTTCTTTTCTTCGAGTCACTTACTACTCMTATGAGACTGAAAACCAGAAAATATTAAAAAATCATTTTCCCTTAACACAGGCTTTAGTGAGTCACAGAGTGTWTTGTAATAGATTTGCCGTAACACTGGAAATAGAACCTTGAGAAAATTGTTTACCTTGAGAAAAAAATTGAATAAATGTTTCTTCTCATACTTTAAATAACTAGTTCCCAAATATTGTATAATATACAAAGAAAGAATTGATTACTTAAAAACTTCCTAAATTTGCAAGTTTATACTTTGGTTATCACTGTATTTTTCCTCAGGATTTTAAAATTATTTTTGTTTAACTATTTCATTAATGGTGTTTATTAATCTATTATCACATGAAACTGTTTTCCCCTGAAAAGGCACATCTAATCATTATAAGCGATCTGTACTAAGCTTCAAATAATTTCATTCTAAAAACCAAAAATATCCAACATGTAATCTCCAAATTTCTCATAATGCTTACATCAGTTTCTGAAATTCTGCAGAACTGATCCTTTATTCTTGGGAACCACCAATTTTCAACTCGTTTTCTTGTCTCCAACCCATAGCTTTTTTCCCATTTCCCCGTCTCACTGTAAATAGTTCTCACACAAGCAGGAACCAGTCTTCTCTGCCATTTAATTAATCCCAGGAAGCCATTTAGCTGCCTCTTCAAACATGAGGAACAAAGGACAACTCTTTCACAAACCGACTGCATTCTTAACGTTATGGTATCTGAAAAGACAAAAAAAAATATATTTCATGCTGCAATAACAACTCAATGATTATAATGATTATAATGATTATACTAATAACTGGGAGCTATGAAACATATTTTAGCTTGACTTGGACTACTCGGCTGTTTTCCACGGAACTTGCATTTTTTCCAGGTCTGAATTATAAAAGTATGTATTTTTTAGTTAAGAGARCTAAATGTGGCCTTTGCACAGAACGAAAGTATTGTGTTAGATGTCTTACGTAATAAAATACAATTCTTGCATTTATCCCATAAAGGCATAATCAGTCAACTGAAGGTTCCAGAAGCTTAGTTGCCTGAATAGAAGATGGCTAACAGGKTGTTAGTAAAAATTCAGAATGAAACAGAAAGAAGCGGAAGTTGGATGAAATTATACTGTAAAAATACTGAATTTTTCATCACTGAAAAGAGATGGGGGAGGATRACTATAATTAGTAGATTTCAACCAGATAATCTAAATCATCTATTTTGCTAAGGCTCTCTTTTTCAACTAAAAATACTGTTAACTCCACAAATGCTTTAGAGTGAGTCTTCCAAAGCTATTCAGATGGGAGAAAGATCAAACARTTCCCATATTTGGGATCAATTTCAACATGATATTTGCTGATTTTACTTCCTACAGTAGGAAATACGGCATTAAAAGACCTCTACTCTGAGGTTCCCTTCTCATCTTGACTGCTATTTTTTTTTTAATTGGGGTTTTTATAGCTGTATTTCCTATCCTCTATGGTTCKTTTTGGGATTTTCTTTTTTAATTTTGACCAATACACTTGTACCAAACTGGCTATTTCAGTCAGTTCAGTATTTTCCTTGTAGCTACATCAGTAAAATCTCATTGTAGAGAAACCGCATATAAGAAAAGATTTTACTTATGCATTTCCCATAAGACAGAAACATTATCAGTAGAAATAATTGCTATACCACCTAAATTAGATCCCCAGCAAGTTAGTGGGAGTTATGCTTCTTTTAACATTCATCATATACRCATACACAAACCCTCACTGCCTATCTCATTACCTATGTATAGAATTGCTCCTTTTCTCTCTTACTTATCAAGCAGGGTCTTTTAAACATTTTTTTTACTTATGTCACACCAGTGCTTAGAATTTTTTGTTGCTACYCTCCATAATCTCTCTCATTTGTAATAAAAACAAATCCAGGACTGTACTCAGGATTCCCAGTGCAGGTGCATATGAGTCATTTAGGAGATTCCAATTTCTTCCCCTCCATAACATCACACTCATCTCAAAATTAGCATTTCAGTACTTCAAAGYTTTTTTGCTTAATTTTACCAATTATTTCCTTATGTCTTATTTCTACTACTTTTGATTTATTTTACAACAGAAAGCAGTGCTTCCTTACGTCAGCCAATTTCAGCACCACTGATTTATAAAGTAAGTGTTTTAAAGCCCAAGAGTTACACACACATATAATGCTTCACTGAAGGGAGACTAGTGGATGAGAGGACACAGTCYCAAGCTGCACATGGGGAGGTTTACATTGCACGTTAGGAAGAATTTCTTCACAGAAAGGGTGATTAGACACTGGAATGGAATGCCCAGGGAGATGGTGGGAGTCACCATCCCTRAAGGTGTTTAAGGAAAGACTGGACGAAGCACTCAGTGCCACAGTTTGGTTGRCACAGYGGTGTTCGGTCATGGGTTGGACTCCACATTCTCAGAAGTCTTTCCCAACCTAATTGATTCTGTGACTCTGAGATGGAAAGGACACAGATTYTGTGCCTGTGCACAGCTAGAAGGAAGCTCGCCTGCCAGTGTCACACCTCAGAGGGCACATTAGGGTGACTTCAGGCCCTACAGGTCACACGAGCAGGGTGGGAGTGAGAAAACAGCCACAGCCAGGGGCACACAGCACTAGAGCTAAACTCTTTCAAACATGTGGAATTCCAGGACGAGAAAGAGAACTGCAGTGTTTTTCCTGCTCACAGGTACCATCATGCACAAGATGCAATGAGCAGCCAGTCATGTGCTGGGCCAAGCCAGGATGTGGGGCATGGAGGATAATGAAATCCAAAAGASACAGCACTAAACTGTTCTCCCTTTCCAGGCTTGTGTGCACGGGACTAGTTCAAGGTGAGTGCTCCTCCCTGCTCCAGTGAGCCCAGTGCTGTGTGGGTCTTTCAAAAAGCAGGTTATGAGCCAAAACTGTCTTAACTCAGGCAGGGCGTGCCAAGAAGGAGCCGGCCTTATAGGGAAATAAATCATAGAATATACTGAGCTACAACGGACCCACAAGGATMCTGGGCCCTGCACAGGAYACCCCAAGCGYCACACCATGTGCCCMAGAGMATTGTCCAASTGCTTCTAGAACTCTGTCAGGCTCGGTGCTGTGACCACTTCCCTGGGGAGTCCRTTCCAGTGTCCGACCACCCTCTGGGGGAAGAACCTTCTCCTAATATCGAATCTAAACTTTCCCTCACACAGAAGAGGTTTGGAAATATGCAGCAAGCACGCGGGAGACTGAATTAAGGTCCTGGAAACTGCTTGACGAGGCCGAGCACATTCCACTCAGCCCCGCGGGGGTGTCCCGCCGCTGGAGAAGCAAGCACGAGGAGCAGGCGGCTGCATGGGCGGGTCAGAGCGAGCGGCGGGAGGCTGGAGAAGGGGGGAGCTGTGCGGGCACAGGGCCGCCGGGAGAGCCGGCCGGGCGCGGGCGAGGAGCCCAAAGGAGCGGGCGATGGGAGCCGCGGGCAGCGGGAGCAGCGGCGGCCCCGGCGGGCGGGGGCTGAGGGGGCTCCGGGCGGGGGGACCGTTACCTGCGCGCGCCCTCCCTCAGCTCCCCCGCCGAGCCGCGGGCGCCGCCATCTTGGCGCGTCGGTGACGGAGCGAAGCGCCGCCTCCGCCATTGGCACCGCCCGGCGGGGCGGGAGTTCCGCGCAGGGAGGAGCTTTCTGCTTGCCGGAGTGTAACGTGCAAAGGTAGATTGAGGGTAAATAATAAAAATAATAATCAAAAAACTGATTAACCGGGCTCTGTATAAGTTGAACAGARCCTGTTCAACCTCCAGAAGAGATGGAGAGAGGGGCTCTCATTAATGTCCATAAATATCTAAAGCCGAGGTGCCAAGAGTATGTTTCCAGGCTCTTCTCGGTGGTGCCAAGCAGTAGGACACGAGGCAGCTGATGTAGGCTGAGACAGATGTACGGGAAGTTCCAGCTGAACATGAGAAAGAATTTCTTTACTGAGCAGGTGACCTGGCACTGGAACAGATTGCCCAGGGAGATTGTGGAGTCTCCTTCATTTGAGATATTCCAGAATTGTCTGGATGCAATCCTGTACCGTGGGCTCTAGGATGGCCCTGCTTGAACAGGGAGGTTGGACCAGATCACCCACTGTGGTTGCCTGCAACCTGACTTCTGTGTGATTAATTTTGCTCCCTTCCACAGCATATACAGATGCCCTGTAAAGTGACTATAGGTTAGGACTTGATTTCAGTAATTTCAATAATTTTACTTCCCTTTTTTTTTTTGTTTTGTTTTTTAAAGTTATGTTTTCTTTTTAAGAGGCAAATTCTGAAATAAAGGCAATAGTTTGGGTTTTTAGGATTTTTTTGTTTGTTTTTTGTTTGGTTTTTTTTTTAATGTGTTTTTGACTAGTCAGAGTAAAAAGCAGAAGTCACAGAACCACAGGATCACAAAATGGGTACCTATCTCTGCCTGGAAAGCAACATCTCACCCTGCTCCCTGTTGTCAACACTGTCTAGTTCAGAGTTGGTTTTAATTACTGCAAGTAACTTGTAGTAACCTCCAACTAACAATAAATATTAATTACCTTCGAGTTTGTGCCCTTTTGCTGCTGGCTACTGTTGATTTGTTTCATTTTTAGACCTTTTWTTCACCTTTGTGTTTCCAGCAGAGTTTAAACAGACACATTCTGTTTATGCAGTGCAATGCCTACAGTAAAGTCAACCTTCTTCTGTGATTAAAAATATGTATTTACTGAATAAAAGCTTTCCACTTCATTGTGTGTACCTGTCAACTGTGCTTAAATTATAACCTTTTCACCACAAAAATGAACAGAGAGCAGCTCTGATGGTTACCCTGCTGATAAACTAGTACAGTTTCCCCACTACTGTGTGCATAATTTTAGTTCGCTTTTCTGCTGGTGTACCTGTCTGYAAACAATGGCAATTTGGCTTTAACRGGCCTTCCATCCCAAATCTCTCCCTGAGCTTCTGTGTGAGTTCCTGGACTGAGGGAGGATGAAACATTTTGTTGTGTGGGGGGACAGGCAGTGCAGGCCTTGGCTGAAACCCTTCCCCAGCATAAAAGAGAGCTCGTGTCCCGCTGGGACATGTTTTCAACTCAAGGGATGATTTCCCCTTGCGCTGGCCTTAGCCCCTGCATATTCCTGATTCATGTCTGAGTGAATGGATGGAAAATTATCTCAGAGGGATTAGCAGACTTGGATGAGGCCACAGAAAAAAAAGGCAGTATAAGATTTTGGAGGAAAGCTTTGGTGTGCTTTTGGCTGTCCTCTTGACACCGTGGGACAATTATCCATTGCAATTTCTAGGCACTGCTGATATGGGGTCTTGACACTRTTTTTAAATAGTGCTGCCAAACAGTCAGTGCTTAATAGATAAGCAATTCCTACCACTAGTAAGGCAATAAAAAAGCCCAAATGCCAAATAACAGTGTGTATCTCTATTGGTTTTGACCTTCATGGATTATTGCACTACACTGAATACATTTGCTCTTCTTTCCTTCTATTTCTGGCTGGTCTCAGTTTTTCACACCTAATTTCAGTTTCTGTTCACAGAAAATCTTACACTTTGTCTAGCTTAATTTGATATTGGCTGCCTTCCTCACTATTAGAATCCAGATTGCACAATAAGCTCCAATAAAATCAACAGAAAGGGACACAAATTAAAATATCAGTACATTCTCAGAGTGAGTTTCTAGCAGTATCTTGACAGAAGTAATCTGCTACATGTTCTAAGTAACACACAAGTCAAACCCGTGTCAAACCTGCTTGACGTGTTTTTGTTAGCAGCTAATAAAAATCATAGCAGAAAAGTCCTTCCAGAAGAAAACAATGAATAATATAAAATTATATGATTTGGGTTTTTATTTTTCCCCAGTTTATTTTTTTTTTAAATAGTGGGTGCAAAATGGCATCTATAGCCTAGACTTGGTACAATAAATTGCCATTTCATCAGAATCTCAAACTAGATCTGAATTTAACCAAACCCACTTTGCATTGTTGGTTAACATGGTGAGCAGAGCAGAGCTAGAGGCTCCACGTGGGCCAAAACCTAGTGCTCCTCAGGTATGGCAGGTCTACTTTTGTGTATAGCATGCATCTAAATTTGCAGGAAGCATTTAAGATTAATTTAGTATTAATCTAAACAGATTATCTTCAGCTTCAAGCAAATCGAATACATAAGTAGATTGTCAGGATGAGAAAGCAATGCTTTAGTGAAATGAATGGATTAAAAAGATAAGACAAAGGTCCAACTACTCAATAAGCTATAATCTTGATGGCAAAGCATGAGAAATATAGGTCAATATGTTTAATGTTAGATATTTCAACAGTCCAGAGATTGAAATGTATTAAAAAAATTGTAATTCTACATTTGAGGTAGTGATTGGACTTGAAAAATATTTTAAGGAAAACATAAAGTAATTCTCTCATTATTTTGTTACTTTTGCTCACTCTGAGCTCTACAGTGTTGTCCCCAGTTGAGGTGAAGAGCACTGCACACACAAAGTAAAGAGGTTTTCATTTGCGAGCGAGGACTGTCAGCTGCTCCATATCAGGTCCCTTCTCTTTGGAAGTGGGAACCTCTCACGTTCCTGAGCAGAATCCTGAAGGAATCATGAATCAGAACTGCACAGCACACCATATGAATAAAATTAAACTCAACACCTTGATAGCCCAGACAGGGGTTGGAGACACCACCCACTCAAGTGTCTCTCTTTATTGGGCCAGAACCCATGCAGAGTGTTGAGAGCAAGCATGGACACAAGCCCTAAAATGGCTCAGACTTTTCCAGACAGGGTACCTAACCCACTCTCCCATGATCCCCACTTTCCCTACCCAGAGTTTGGCTTCCTACTGTGGGCTGTTTTCTCAGGCTCCTTTCATTGTGGGAAATTATTGATATAGAAATATTTGTATTTGCTTTAACAGTCATAAACTATTTTCCATCAGGCTGATACTCCCCTGATTTCTTTTTTAGACTTTGCACTAATGTGTTTGTTAGCATTGGTCCACATAAAGCCTGGAACTGATTGGGTAATTAGGTAATTCATTAGTTCCTGTATGGGAAATGTGCAGAAGTGCCCCAGTTGTCTGGCACTTAAATAGACATGCTTCCCAGATTTCCGTACCAGTTTTTGCTCATAGTTACCAGAATTGATGTTTGTGTTTCCTGGCATTGTTTTTTTGCTCCTACATCAACAACATGACTAGTATTTTTTCAGCCTCCTACAAAAAGAGGATTAAARCCCAGCATTTTTAATACAAAATTACTTTTATCACCTGCATACTTCAAATCCCAGCCCCATTTCATGTAACTAAATAGTCTGGTTATTTTTTTTTCCGCATCAAACTTGGAGAATGTGGCTTTTGTTACCGTGTTTYGGTGTGCTGTTGTTTACATACGCGTGTATTTAGTGGTTTTGCTTTAAAACACAAGGTGAGATAAAAATTGTAGGTGATTGGATTACAAGGGTATGAAGAATATCACTTGAGAATATAAAAAACCAAGAAACTTACACACTACATTTAAGAAAAATCCTCTCAGACCCTATCTACTATGCGAACCCAGATCTCAAAGGAAGGAATTAGGAGTGAGGCCACAGAGATCAGTGGAAGCTTCACTTTTGCAGTGGATTTTATTTTAAAAACACTGAAGCATTGTGATAGTGGAAGAATAAACTCTTGAAAGAAGCAAAAGAGGCAAAGTTATATTTTTGGGATAGAAAGGAATGGATTTGGGCTAGATTGGTCACATTACTAGGGGTTCAGCTTGACCTGTAAATTGTGAGTTTTGGTAACTCATGACAGGTATTACTTGTATGGTTAATGCCCACTTCAGCTGGGGATTGGCCTTGATGACAGAGGAGGTTCTTGTCATCGAAACCARCACGGATTTGTCATTCCTTGGTTTGGCAAAATGAAGAAGAAATCAGCCATGTAGGTAGTCAGAAACCTGCCTGCCCCACCCAGGGGTCTGTGCTTGGTGACCATGATGGCCTTGTTTGGTTGAAAAATACCTGTGCCTGTCCCTGTCCCTATCCCTGTGCCACTCATTAAAACACTGAATGTTATAGAAGAGTTTGAAAGCATGCAAGACCCAGACTCAGTGAAGTCATACTTACAAACATTGTTTTAGCAGGCTGATGTTGGTCCCTAAGCCTGGAGCTGGGTTATGGGGCTGAATCCTTTGTAAGCCCGAGGTGAACCTCATTCTGAGGGGTTTTTATATTACAGAAGGGTGCGTGTAACCTAAAATGCACATCCTCCACGTTCCACACGATGGTATTAGACCAGTAACAGTCAGCAGCTTTTTGCTTATTCAGACAAGAAATGTGTGAGTAAGTGTGTGCATGTAGGTGGGGGGAAAGTTACCAGGACCAATGCACTTTTACTTTTCTGCCTTTCATCAACAGCTTGGTTTTCAAAGTAATTGGTACTTTATTTTTGTCTTGGCCATCTTCTAATGCACTATGATTGGAACTGGTTGTATGCAGCGGTGAGCAAAACTACCCCTTTGCAGCATTCAAAGCTACACATTCCGTGCTTTTAATCTGGAAAGAAGTTTTTTCTAAGACCGTTTAAAATTTTGAATTTACAGTCATGGGAGTAAGAGCACAATCCTTACGAGCT